CTCAACGGTGTTTTTGGTGATTTCGTGGGCCGTTTTCGTTTCGACTTCGTTTCGCGGTAGAGGCGGATTCGAGGCAAAAGCGAGGGAAAACGAAAACACCACGAAAACGAAAAACATTGTTTAGGTTCAGCCCGGTGTGACACCTCGTGGTCCTCGATCCTCCTCTTGGTTGGCCTCGGCGGCGCTGTCATCGCCACCGACGCTGTCCCTTCGCCTCCTGCCAGCCCAGCCACACTGCCCATCCCGGGAGTCACCACCCACCAAACCACCCCAACCCAATCCGAAGGCTCAAACTTACCCTCGATTTCCAGTTGGGGGGGGGGTCGGGAAACATCGGAAAAGCACATGTGGAACCCTTACCCCCCCAACCCGAAATTCGGGTCTTCGGGTTGGGTTGGGGTGGTCTGGTAGGTCGTCAGGGAGCCTGCACAGCAGCCTCCCCCCGGCCGAGACCGCCGCTGGAAGTGCCTCCTCGATGGCGGGGTGCACGCCTCGGGCCGGGCTTGCGGCTGAGCCTGCCGGGTGGACCCCCCCAGCTGGCCCTTCTCCGCCCTCTTTCGGGGGAGCGTAAGACCCGGGTTTGCCAGGACTCGGGTTCGCCATCGTTTTTTGACGACCGCGATTCGGATTTTGACGAGTAGGAGTTTCGTGGGATGCCTGCAGCGGGAGGCCTCGTCAAAATGCAGGCTCGGCCTCGTCATTTTTTGACGACCTCGACGGGGAGTTCCGAGTCCCCTGTACCCGGGTCTTACGTCCCCCTGATTCTTGATCCACGCTGGCAGGACGTAGATGCCGCCCTTCTCGTAAATTTTCATGTGTTTGTTCCTTTTTGGTAGTTGGAGATCCCGCTACCGCTGTTCTCCTCGGTATCAAACCATACGCAGCTTCCGCTCTTGACCATCTTATGCGCTGAACTCAAGGGGCGGTGGATGTCTCCAATCTCCCAGCTCGTGCGCACGTCGCCGCCGTTCATGAAGCCGCAGATGAGCTCCTTCTCGCCGTCCTTGTGGACTTCATACTTGCTGGCGGTCTTGTACACACGAGGCGACACGCCAGTCCTGAGAGGGTGGTCTTTGGCAACGTGCCGCCGCAGCATCGAAGCAGATGCGCCCGAATCGATGGCAATGTCGATGCGCTCCCTGCCTTCCTGCTGCCACTTGCGCCAAGGCTCTGGCGCGGCGTCCGCCCAGCCTCCAGAGCCTCCCAGTGCGCTGACTCCTCCTCCTGCTGGGCGACTCCGGCTCCTGCCTGGAGCCGAATCAGCCGGGCGGCCGAGGCTCGGCTGCGAAGCCTTGGCTGCCCTCTTCGACGCCCAGCCCGAGGCCGTCCAAGGTGCATCCCGGAAGCGCCTCGAGCCTGTTCCGGAAACGCCCTGCCGGAACACGCTGCCTTCCCCCTCTGCTGGACCCCATGGGGCATCCTGGCCGACTCGGCTCGATGACGCAACCTAGCCGCCATGCCGCCGCGATGGCAAAGGCTCCCCTTTGGGCCTCGCCTGTCTCTTGGGCGTCGTTCCTGGGGTCCTGGCGCACTCGTCCTCCTTGCGGCGCTCCTGCCGGGCCGCACGCTGGGCCTGGATCCACTCGCCCCAGTCGAGACTTGAAGCCTTCTTCTCTCTATCCTCCTTCTCTTTCTTCAACCTCTTCCTCCCCTCATTCTGCGCCGGCGTCTTCCGCTTGACGCTGCAGGGCTCCTCCTGGCTCCTTGCTTTGGCACCAGCAGCCTCGCCGTCGCGGGCCCTCCTCTCCTCATGCTTTTCCTCTTTGTTCGTCTTCTCCTTCTTGTGATCCTCCTCCTTCTTTTCCTCTCGCCTGCGCCAGCGGCAACATGCTTCTCCAACCTCTGGCTCCTGTACTCTTTCCTCTTCGCGAGCTTCCTGGATAACCCAGCGGTGAGGTCGTCGTAGTACCCATCGGAATGCCGATTGTCTGTCTGTGCCTCTGTGTCATCCTCCTTCTTCGTCTCTTTCCTTGTCTTCCCTGCCTCTTCCTCCTCATCGTTCTCCTCCTTTCTATGGTTATTCGCCTCCTCGATACTCCTCGTGCTCACCTCTCCTCCTCTCTCCTCCCGGCGCGAGCCCGGGGCCATTGCCGTGTTTCCTTTGTCCAGCTTCCTGTTGACGACCCTGACACTGGTGCGCGGCGGCGGCGGCGGCGACGCACTCCTGCTCGAGGAGCGCGGCGTTGACGAACAGCTAGTCTCATCCTCCGGCTCGCTCTGGCGGTCGAGGCTCAAATACGAAGCCTCGTCTGCCTCGGGAGGCGCACGCAAGTCGGACTCCGGCTCGCTCTCGGAGACCCTGGCCGTCATGAGCAGGGATGCCATCTCGCCCAGGATCTGCTGCTGCGTCTGCTCCTGCGGGTAGCCCGCAGCGTCCGACAGCTCGTGCGCACCTCCGTAGCCCTTGCTACGCCTGTCCTTTCCGCCCTTCTTGTTCTCGCCCTTGCTGCTTCCTGGATCTCGTGGTGGCAGCTGGCTGCCGTCCACGTCGGTCCTGCTGTGGCAGTCGGCCTTTCGGTGGCCCTACCGCCAGCACCGATCGCAGTACCCTTCGAACTGTTGCTGGCCAGAACCCTTGCCACCGCCAGCGGGGCCCGATGTCGGTTTCCCGCTAGCTGAATCGGCCTTGCTTGTGCCTTTGCCCTCAGAATCTTTACCTCCTTTGCTTTTGCTTCCTTTGGGGTCCTTGCCGCCGCGCGCCAGAGATCCGATGTCCATCGGAGCCGGGCCAATCCTGGCCTGCACCTGCTCGATGTACCGTTCGACCTCGGTCTTCAGGAACGCGTACGTGTCCAGGCGGGCGATGTTCATGTCGATGTGGTCGCTGAGCGTGTTCGAGCACATGCTCTTCAGGCACGCTTTCCGCATGGAGTCCGTCAACTCCTCGCCCGTCCACCCTTGTAATGCATGTAATCGTGCCCCCACTGCTCAATCGCACTAAGCAGCTGTTCGATCCTGGCCTACGGAGGCCGCATGATCTTCCTGAGACGCCGAAGGTTGGCCACAGGGCTGTTCGGATCGAACTTCCGAACGAGCCGACACCAAGCCTCTAGGCCGCATCCCTTCTTGGTGTTCTTCACGATGTCGCATGCTGCTGGCCCATCGTGGTCAAGCTGACCAAGATCGCATGCAGCTGAGCATTGAGCTCAGGAGTCCGCGGATGTTCGTCCACGATGTCCTGCACCCTCTCCGCCGTGATGGTCTCGCTGCCGAGGCCGGCGGCCCACTCGAGGGTCTCCTCGGCGTCGCTGAACTGGCCGTTGAGCCAAGTGGTGAACTTGAAGCTCCACCCCTGCCAGTCGGACTCCTTGTCGGTGAACGCCACCAGCTTGCCTACCGCTTTCGTGTCGATGAGCCCCTCTTTACGGCGCTCCTTCGACTCGCCCTCGAGGAACACTTTGTTCTGCTCCAGCGATGCCTGGAGTGCACGTCCCTGATCCGCTATTTGGGCGGCCACCGCCGCCAGCGCCTCGTCCGAGCGCCGCTGCTGTTGCTGCGCCGCCAGTTGCTGCCGGCGCATAGTCTCTCCTAGCTGGTTGAACGCGCTCAGCACCTGCTGCTCGTTCGTCTTCTGTGCAGGAGGTCCGAGGCTCGATCTCGAAGCCTCGGCCTCCACCAACTCCCACATGCTTGAGCCGCGCGCGCGCGGGGGGAGCTGGAGCTGGGCCGTGGAAGGCTGACCCAGCTCCGCTACCATTGAGAATCTTTTTGGACCACTGCAATGGCTATGGAATGCGCGTGCAGTGCCATGCAACACACTGGAAGCAAATAAGGGACAAATATAAAACATACTATCACACGGTGCATTGGGCTATTGGGAGGTTCATTTCTGTTCAAGAGAGGGGATAGGGAAAGAGAGGAGGAGAGCGAGAGACAGGGACAGGCACGGATACGGAGAGAAAGAGAGAGAGAGAGAGAAGGGTGGGACGATAAGGAAAACATGAAAATGACCAAGACGGGAAGCGTCATACATAAATGTTGGCATCCTCACATGTTGGAAGAAGTAATGGGCTTCAATTCGCACATGCGTCCCTGCCACCAGAGTTCGCACACAGCTTACCAGACATTACAACCTGCAGAAAACGACTTGTACATCAGCTTGCGGAACGAACGCAGCGATGCCATCGATGAGTGCCTCCTTCGTTTGAATTTTCCTCCCGCCGTCAAAATGCAACGATTGACACAAGGTACCACAAGGAACACATGGCGCGACAAACAGTTGTGACCCATACAGGAAGACGGATCAGAGAACGAGAGTGGAAATTGCAAACGCAAGGGATGCCATACAGAGATGAAGCCCACCACCAGCAGCAACACCCCCACGAGTTAGAAACTGCACGATACGCGTACTTCGATTGCAGAGCAGATACGGCCTGTCCAGATATACATAGACAATTGTGGAACGTTGTGTACATCACAAACGAGTCGAGCCACGCCCCGGACCATACCGCCACCACAAGACCAGGAACGGCAACACGGATGCAGCGCAACACCTTGAATGACTGCAGAAAGCAGACACAATCGAATCGACAAAATTTGAAATACGCCCATGTCGCAGTGAGGGGGATTCTGATGGGCCCAATGGCACCTCCCTGGCCAATCTGCGCCCGGGATGAACCGTGAACAAGAATCTCTCTCCAAAACCAGTTCATTCTGGAAGCGCGGCACCATGTTGCAAAACGCGGTAATGATACCATCCAGATCTTGGTTCTTGTCAAAGGCCCATTGAATTCAACAGTGGCGTCGAAAGCACTTCGCCTCATTTTGCCACCCTGATGCGCCGCAAACATCCGCGGTGCTCATCGAGGTGCCCCCCCCCAAGCGCCACGCGGAAGCATGAGACCCGACACCACGGGAGAGAGGGAGCGAGGGAGAAGGGGGGGGGGAAGGCAGGGAGGGATGGAGGGTGGGGCGGGAGGGTTGGAAGGAGCGGGGGGGGGGGAAGGGAGGGAGCCCGGGGGGGGAAGGGCGCAGGCCGTGCCCGCAGCAGACGCCGCCAGGTCGACTACAACAAGTGGCGGCGTGACGTGAACCTCCTTGAGGACCTCTCCGCCCTCCACCGCGTCCATCCTCCACTTCCCTCTTCCTCATCCCCCTCTTGCCCCCTCCCCCCGCGCGCCCCGCCATGAGCACCCTGCCCCTGCAGGACGAGTTCGAGCGGCTGAAGATGTCAAAGTTCCACAAGGGCGAGAATCCCGTGGTTTCCTGCGGCAAGCTCGCCGGCGGCATATTGTTGGCAATCGTATCGTTGCTGTGGATTTTGCAGATTCTGATAAGCGTTATTAGCAGGCAGATCGATCCGAACGCAGCAATCCCGTTCTTGGACTGGATTTTCATTGCTTGCGAAAGTGCAGGTGCATACCCTCTGGGAGTCGCATTATTTGCGGCGTTTACCCTCTACTTATGTCTCTGCGTAGTGAAGGGATGCTTCAAATTCGGGATGCGGATAGCCTTCCTCTTCACGATACATCCGATGCGGCACAAGGCCACACCACTAAACAGCATGCTCTTCAACGTGGAGATGCTCCTCATATCCACAGCTGCTGTCGTGCAGTTCGCTCAGACAGCGTTCGGCGACTATGCACGTCTGACTGATGCAGATGTCATCTTTTCCGCGCAGATAAAACATATGACATTCTATCGGTGGTTCTTCGAGAACAACGTGTTCATCTATACGCTGCTGGCTTGGTTCGTACTCTGCCTCCTGTACCTCCTGTGTAAGCCGCGCGACAGTGCAAACGTCCAGCTGACCAACAAGAAATCAGACAAATGGTTGGCTAAACTGGTCGGGAAGCCTGCCGATCCTCCTGCTGACAGCACGTGCACGAAAGCCTGACCTGTCACGCGTGAGCCGCCAGAGAGTGCGCCTCAAGCGGAGCTGCTCGATGCGCAATGCCGCAGTCGAGCGGTGAGTAGGTTCGGCCGGGGGAAGAGGGAGCTAGAGGAGGAGGCAGAGGCTCAAGGAGGAGGAGAGGCGGAGGAGGAGGAGGGAAGAAGAGGAGGAGGAGGAGAAGGAGGACCAGTGTAAACCCAAGAGTCATCAACGATGTTGGCATAAACCCTTAATCCAAGCTCCCTCTTCACAGGCCCCTACAACGGTTCATTCCCACAGAGGGAACTGCCTCGTTGGAAGACCACTGTTTCAAGACCCTGAAGCTTGCCAAAACATTGTTCTCGGAATTCCAACGCCACGGATCAACCTGATTGTTGCGTCTTGACGATGCGGAATCGCGCCAGAACGCCATTATTGGGAATTCAACGCCGCGAATCAACCCACTGTTACACCCTCATAATCAGGAATCCTTCCAACATGCCATTTCTGGTACGGTCATCATGGACATCCGCTAAACCGTTTCAACTTTTCCATTTTGAAAATGAGCCGCCCTCGATCCGTGAAACCTTTGCAAACTTTTAAAACGAATGTGCGCGGCCCTAAGGCGAGAGCCACATTTTGAAGAGGAACCGCCCTCAATCCGGGAAGCTCTCGCAAGTTGTTTAAAACGATGTGCGCGACTCTACTGCGAGCGCCACATGTTGAAAACGGCCCGCCCTCAATCCATGAAGATCTCGCAGGTTGTTTCCACGAATGCGCACGGCGCTAAGGCGAAAGCCACTTTTGGGGAACGACCCGCCCTCAATCTGGGAAGCTTCAGCAAAGTTAAGAAAAAACGAATGTGCGGTGCGCTCAGGCGAAAGCCACATTTTGAAAACGACCCGCCCTCCATCTGTGAAACTGTTGGTAGTTGTTTATGCTTCAGGGTCATAAGCGATGAGGAAGTCTCAGGCGAAACGCCCGGCCCGCCCTAGAAAAAGACAGGCCTCGGGTTTCGACAGGTCGAGGTCGTTCGCAAGGAAAAGGATTGGAGGAGGAGAAGAAGCAGGAGGAATGATCTGTGAATGAGGGGGAGATGGGCTTAGAACGGTGACGAGGAGGGGAGAGGGGGGCAAGGCGTCGACAGGGCAGCAGAGAGGGAGCACCTCCAAGCACCGACGAGCGGCACGAGGAGTCAGAGGCTGACAGCTGGGCTCAGGGCGGAACGAATCACATGGATATTTGCGGAATCAAGCTTGGTTATCCTATTTCCCTTCTTCCCCCGCCTTCTCCCTGTTCCATGTCCCTCACCCTGGCCCCCCTCCCCCTACTCAACTCCTCCCTTCCCCGCCCCCTCTCCTCCTGCTTCGCGTTCTACTTCCCCACCCCGCCTTTCCAGTCTTCCCTGCCTTGCGGTTGCTGACAAGAGGCTGCCAGCGCTGGGGAAACCGTGAACCCACTTTTGGTCTGAACGCGGGTTCATGGTTGGTCCACGTTGGGCCCCCTCTGGTAAAGAACACCTCGATCTAAAATCCGCGGGTCCAGCCCCCAAAGTCCGCAGCCGAGACGAGGAGGCCCAGCAGGGCCGAGGTGTGCAGTGTGGATCATCACTGGTGTCTGCACTGGCTCCTCCCCCACCCGAGCCCATTTCTGACGGCCCCGGGTCCGACAACCAGCCCCGTGAGCCGGAACCGAGGAGAAGCGCCAGGGTTGGGCGTCGCGTAAGGGGGGGGGTCATAAGTGGGGGGGTGGCGAGGGTGGTCCGAAAAGGGTACCCTAGCGGTACCTAAACGAGCCCCCCTGAGGCTCCAGAGGGGCCCGAAAAGGGCAGGGAAGGGGACCGTTCCCGACCCCCCTCATCCAGGACCCCCCCATCAAGCCACAGGCGCCAGGGTTGCAAGGATCGTATCGCTGGAGGCCTGCCCTCCCGCCGCCTTTGGGAACAGAGGCAGAGGAACACCACCACCAGCAGGGACCACGAGCGGCAGGAGCCAGGGTCAACCCTTGGTTGGTGTGGTCGACGAGGAGGAGGACGAGGACGAGGAGGAGGAGGAGGCGGAGGAGGAGGAGGAGGAGGAGGAGGAGGAGGAGGAGGAGCAGGATGAGGAGGAGGAGAAGGAGGAGGAGGAGAAGGAGGAGGAGGATGAGGAGGAGAAGGAGGAGGAGCCCCCCTCTCGCTCGAGACCTCCCCTGCCCCAGCTCGGGGAGGCATCGAGGACCTCCTCGCTGGAGGTGGCCCCCCTGGTCTTGGCATCGCTCGGACGTGTGCATGTTTCCTTCGGCGAGGACCATCGAGTACCATCCTTGATCATTCGGCGAAAAAACCACGCACGAAACCGCAAAAAGCACAGGGAATGGACGTCCGAGCGATGGCCACCGGTGGTGATGTCGCTCCCCCTCCGCCCCCCCCCAAGCCCCGCTGCTCCCTGCGGCTCCGGGCCGCCCTGCAGATTGGTGCCGCTCTGCGCCCGTGCCGCTGCACGCGGCGCCACAGGGGGGACCGACGGAAGAGAAAGCGGGGTCGGCTGTGCCCGCGTTCGCGCGCAAGCGGCCCGCCTGAGGCCGCGCGTGCCGTGAACACCCTCGCTCCCGATGCAGCGTGCCGCGGCGTAGCGGTCTCCGCGTCTGCTCGCGTGGGGCCCGCTTCTCTTCTTCGCCCGCTCGGCCCCGCTGTTCTCCACGGTGTGCCGCGAGAGTGTTTCTGTACTGCTTGGGGCATCACGGGCGTCATGGCCCCCGCCCCCCCCCTAATGACGGAACGCCCCCCCCAGTGCGCTCTGGGCACCGCCGCCCTGTGCGTCGGGATCTGCATAGGCGTCCGCATAGAAATCCGCATAGGAGTCTGGCCCGCAGTCGTCGTCGTCGTCGTCGTCGTCGTCGTCGTCGTCGTCGTCGTCGTCGTCGTCGTCGTCGTCGTCGTCGTCGTCGTCGCTCGTCGCTCGTCGCTCGTCGCTCGTCGCTCGTCGCTCGTCGCTCGTCGCCGTCGTAGTCGCTCGTCGCTTGTCGATCATCGTCGTCGTGCGCGCGGACGCGGATGGAACCTGTTTTCTGAATTCTGGGCCGATGACGGCAATCATCTGGGGGGGTGGGGGAGAGGGGGCCGATGACGTCACGTTTCGCGCCGGCGGCGTCTGGGAATACCTAGGAATGACCGAGGATGGGTAGCAGCAGCATGTAGATGGCGATCTGCACCACAGCGCAGGTGTACACCACAGTGCCTGCGTGCACCACAACGCCTACGTACACCACACCGCCTATGTACACCACAGCAGCCGCGTGCAACACAGCGCCACTGTGTGCCACAGTGCCTGTGGGCACCATAGCGCCTGTGTACACCACAGCGCCCGCGTACACCACATCAACCGTGTGCAACAGAGCACCACTTTTTGCATATAGAATTTTAGAAGGAATCCTTCTGACAGAATGGAGCCTCTGTGGACTCCACCACCAAAAAAAATGTTGTATACAAGATTTGAAACGGAATCCTAATGGACATAGGAGCGCCGCTGGAATCTACGACTTCTTCCGAGTCCGCCCGCATCATCCTAACTCATCCTATCTGCGTCCAGGAAGCACCCGAAAAATTGGCCATCCGAGAACCAAGTGGACTGATTCAATGGGCCATTTGCGGTGCACGCTGAGATGCGCACGTGCGTTGTAGCCCCGACCCACACGACAGGGGGAAGTGTGAGGGAGGAGGGGGAGGAGCAGGAGGAGGAGGACGAGGAGGAGGAGGAGATGGAGGTGGCGAAGGACGGGGGAGGGAAGAGCGTCGCATTTTCTTACCATCAGTTCCCATGCGTGGCGTTCAGCTGTCCGCAGCAGATCCTCACCGACATGCTCCTTCTATCTGTCCTGTGCACGCAGGCGCTGTGGTGTACACCAGCGCTGCGTTGCACGCGAATGCTGTGGTGTAGACAGGCGCTGTGGTGTGCACAGGCGCTGCGGTGCACGCAAGCACTGTGGTGTACACAGGCGCTGTGATGCATTTGGTTGTTGCGGTGTACATGTTCGCTGTGGTTTACACCGGCGTTGTGGTGCACGCAAGCATTGTAGTGTGCACAAGCGCTGCGTTGCACACGGTTGTTGCGGTGTGGTCAGGCGCTGTGGTGTACACGCGCGCTGTGCAGCACGCGAGCATTGTGGTGTACACAGGCGCTGTGGGGCAGATCGCCACCTACATGCTGGTCGTGTCGTCATCGTCGTCGTCGTCGCTCGTCGCTCATTGTCGTCGTGCGCGCGGGCGCGGCTGTGGTGCCAGAGCCACACGGCTGGGGGTCGGTACGTCATACCCCCCTCCTCCCCCCCCTCCCCCCATGACGCCCGTCACCGCCGAAAATACAGAAACGCTCTCCATGCTGGCGGCCCGCGTAAGCCGCAGCGTGCGGTCCCCGCGCCATCTCACTTATGACCTGCTTCTTTTCGTCGCCCAGCGGAGCGTTCGAAAAAGGGCCTTGCCTTCGAGGATCGGGTCGCCGTCTCTTCCTCGGCGGAAGGCGGCGGCAGTAAAACGAAGCCCGCCTCTGCCGGCGGAAGGCCGGCGGAAGGCGGCGGAAGGAAAAGATGCGGCCCCAAGAGGTGACAACTTTTTTTGGGTTCAGGGTTCCCGGAATCGGCCGCCTCAGAGATCCGACGTCTTCACGTTTTCAGTGCGGAGGGCCCCCGGATGTCTCGACCTGTTCCCAAGGGCCGGCGCTCTGTCCCGAAGCGCTGACTGACGGTCGCTGAGCCCGGCGCGGGCCTCCCGAGGCCGACAGAGGCAAAGAACAAGTCCGCCGTGGCTGTCCCAATGCGTTTGAACTCTGGGCCCGGTTCTGTGCGTCGCCGGCTGGAGCGGCATAAGAAAAAGCAGGGGGCCACATGCGAACCCTACCCCTGCCCCCCACGATTTCTGAGGGGGAGGGTGGGGTTCACTTCGCCACCCTCCCCCTCAGAAATCGTGGGGGGCAGGGGTAGGGTTCGCATGTGGCCCCCTGAAAAGGGGTCGTTTTCCCCGGCATTGGCGCGTTAAGTTGCCCGCGTCA